TCTAGTTTTATCTTTCCAGTATTAAAACTTCTATCCATCAAATATGAGAGGTTTAACATTATAACTTATCGTTTGAAACTAATGCAACAACAGTTGGTGTGGGTTCAACCATTGTGTTTCTTCAATGAAAAACTTGTTCGGATCTTTATCTGAAACTCATAAGTGTTTGATAACTATCAATACCAGAACCAGAGCTCTGATGCCAATTGAAGGTGTGAGAAATACAAAAAAGGGGGTTTGAATTAGGCCTCCCAAAATAAGTTTTTTTGTTGGTGACAAAACCAAGTAAGCTTAGAACATAAAAATAAATGACACCGTTATTTTTATCCTGGTTCACTGTTAACTAAGTTACTCCAGTCCACCCCCTCAAGGATGATTTCGCCTTCAACAAAGACTTAATCCACTATAACCAAACTAATTACAGACAGCCCACAATAAGTCAGATCAACTCTATTGGCACCCCTAATAAATATGTCGATCCTTATTTCAAATCCACTCAAGCTGCAAAAGGATTCTTCTTGAGATTAAACCTTCACTCGGTCTCTCAAGGTATCAATCAACAACAGTTGAGTACTTTCGGTGTATTACAGATTTACTTCTTGTTAAGCAGATTACACAGATGTTTCAGTATAAAGATAAAACACCTAAGTGTTCTACTGCAAGATACGAGCAACAAATCCTTGCTTATTTATAAAACTATACACATATGATTTCTCTACAGAGTTTGCACAACTCTTTGGTGTAGTTTTGTTGAGCTTGATTTAATCTGATAGATTTGTCATTGTAATGTTGATTCTTACTTTTCTTCAGCTTCCAAGTCTTCCTTTTATAGCTTGTAAAAGAGATCTCTTTAAAGGGTAGAAAGGTAATCAAAAATCTAGTTGTTGGTTCTCAACGTTCATAATGAGAGTGGTCACAGTAAAGTATGAAAGAATTGTCCTTGCGCCACTCTAGAAGAGTAGAGGTCACAGACACTTTATGTACTGTTTGTACACCATCACACGTTAACTATTTTTAACTTTCTTCTTGTCTTCAGAGGCTTCAGATATTTGATTATTGAACTTTGAAACTTGTTGTAGAAGAATCTTTCTTAAGTCTTAAAACCCAAGTCTTGGAGTCTTTAGAACTTGTCACACAGAACATTGTCTTCAGAGTCTTCAACACTTGGTTATAAGAACTTGACTTTCTTCAGATCATCAGAACTTGTTCAGTAGAACCTCATATTTCATAATCTTCAGAACTTGTAACACATACAAGTAAAGCTTTAGAAGACCTCCAAACTTAACCAAAAAGTCACGATCAGAACTTCTTGTACTAACGTTCCTTAGACACGTTGCAGAAGATAGATTCCAAAATCATGACTTTCACTGTAACACGTAACCACTTGTTTTCTTCTAGTAATGTATGTTCAGAACCTGATGACGTCGCACGCCTTATACTAGAGTCGGAACATTATAGCAGCAGCTACACACTAGAACGAAACCATTACTGTATACAATTGTTCTCTAAGATAACATGTAAAGTTATCATCAAAATTTTAAGGTCGGATATAGAAACACTTCTTGTTCTTACAATTAGTAATCATTTCTAGGGTTTCATGAAAACCAAACAATGATTGCATCTATTTTCTCAATCGGATTCAATTTTTACCGTAAACAATTAAAAGAGAATTGGGAATATCATTGCTACCATTCATCTTTGCAGCAAACACGATTCACGATCCCCAGAAACACAACCATTGACGTGCAATTCTTGAATTTTCAATCAAGAAGAACGAATCAGAAGCTCTAGATGTCAATTTATTAGTACTTAGTGCACTTGGATGAGAAATGAATGAGAGAGAGATAAAAAAGAAAGAATAAAAATTAATTGTATTATTGAATTGATAAAACTAAATTACACTAGTGTTTATATACAAGTGGGTTAGTTGCACTCTAAATAACTTACGAGTTAAGTAAGTAACTAACTAATAATTTTGGGTTATATGTCACAATTTTTTTAGTATTTCATAGAAAAAAGATGTACAAAGCTTCCACGTTGCAAACATGAGTAATACAAGGAAAGAAAACAAGATTGCAATATTAAATAAAAAAACTACAATGAAACAAAATAAATACAGGGAAACACTCATTAGAAAAATTCAATCTCACACGAGAAATATTATGAACCAACTAATGCTTTATTCACGAGAAGTATTTCAAACCAACTAAGTATAATGCTTTATTCATGAACTTATGATCTAATATATACTAAGTATAATGCTTTATTCATGAACTTATGATCTAATATATGATGTTGTTTCTAAAGGTGTCTAATATGACCATATTGTTAATTGATTCTTAATCCTTGCAAAAATTACTCTTATTATTTAATAATTATTGTTTTAATCTATCATGAGCAGATTCAATTATATTCATGGCAGTGTTACTAAAATGTCTAAGACAATCATTCTAAGCATCAATAATTTTCTCCTTCACCTGAATTATTATTGTAGCAACATATTTTAAAAACTTTAAAAAATTTGCGCACACACTTCTAAAATGTACGATAGAATCAATATAAAACTTGTATATAGAAGAATTTATTATAGTATCTCAAGTTGTTATTATGTGAATTTTCGTACTCCCCTTTTCAACCTTGACAATTTATGTTTTTGCTAAAAACTTGCATCTAACTATCATCATTCTTAGTTATATGATGCCGACACAATAAAGTGGATCGACTAGAAAAAAATTTCATGAGTGAAGTATCACGACCAGTGACAATCATGTGTGACATATTTATATAGGTCATTTAACAAATTGCAACTTATTCTTAGTCCAAGTAATATTATCCTCCTTTTGACATTCCATAAAAACAAAATTAACTGAATAAGTCATCTCTATAAAAGTAACACCAACAAATTCAAACAAAGTAGTTTGTATTTGTTAGTCTTTGTTAGTCTTATATGTTGAATTCCTTAGCAGTGCAATGAAAATTTTGTTAAACAACTTAATGAATTTTATATGCACCTAAAGTATAACTTGAATGTATTTTCTATCATAAAACATTCTATATGTAGCGACATAATCATGCTCACACAATTGTTTCAACAATTGTTGCATTTCATTACTTGGATGCCTTATACCCTAGTTTTTTATGTATTGAACATTACAAACTTGCTTAAAATTTCTTACACTATCGCACCTTTCTTTTAAAAGTCATGAGTGTGTTTTGGGTAAAACCATGTTCATTATCATTTTAGTAACAATTGGATGACTTTCTAACTTGCGATCCAATTCATGGATATATATATCCCACATGAGTAAGTGGGGAAATAGTCCCACATTGTATAGGAATGTGGAGATTTAAGCATATATAAGTGGGAGAACCCACTCACCTATCACCTTAAGGTTTTAGGTGGAGAAGTGGTGTGTTTCTCACAAAGTGCTTTTGAATTTATCATAGATAATAGATGATTTTAGCAGATTCACATTGGAAGTTATCATGCCTTAACTTTATACTTCTAAAGGTTTTTCAATCAAACTAGTTGTGTTGAGTCCCTCCAACAAAATAGAAAACATCAACATATACTTAACATTGTTCGTGTCCTAATATTTCAAGCCAATGTCCCTGAATCTCTTTAGTCATATGTTGTCACTCATGTTGTTTACATCATTAATAGAGTTCCTAGCCCTATCCTAAATAACAAGCAAGCTCCCCATATGTTGTTCAACAAAGAACCTAACTTACATGCCTTAAAGGTTTTTGGTTCCTTAACATATACTGCCACTCTTCAATCACACAGGACCAAACTTGATTCTATGGGAGGAAATGCATTTTCTTATGATTCAAGCAAGGTATCAAAGGAGTGATCATATTAGACATCAACAATCATGACATATTTGCATTTAGGAATGTTGTTCACCGTAAACACATTTTTCCCTATAATCCTAATTGAAAATACTATACAGGTTTGCAACCTACAAATGCTCCCAATGCCACACCTACCATTCCCAACCCTGAGACTTTACCCTTTATACCTGAACCCATCTCTGATCCTAATCCTTCACAATATGATCCTATTTCTTGTGAAGACCAGACCTCTAACACACAACATAATGACAAAACACACTGTCCTCCTGAGCCGGACATTGTCCCTCATCATGGTAGCTCTATTTGTAATTGTTTTATTGTGGGTTTCAGCACCCCTTGTGTTCCTTGAATCAAATTTGTTTTAAAAAAAATGAATAATTTTATAAAATTCTGCGTAATCTCTATTTTCCATCAAATAATAATTACATGTACGTGTAAAAATGTCAAAACGGATTATAATTAAAAAAACAACAGAGTATAAGTTTGTGACAACAATTCAAAACAAAAACAAGGCTGATACACACACAGACCAAAATAAGTGGTACTCCTACCAAGTTGTTTGCTCATCAACGTAGACACAAGTTAAGAGTTAAATGTAGAAATTTTTTCTTAAAAATTATGCATTGTTTTAATTAAAAGTTGATACTTAGTTTTTTTATTATATTTCCTAACACAAATTTTTCATTTTTAGATTTCTTAACATGTGCCATTTGAACAAATCTGACAGAGACACAAAATCGATTGAGGAGGGGTGTTGATTCTCTCTATAGAGAGAAGAGCGAAATCTAAACCCCTAAATAGAAGGGGGGAAAATACAAGAGGCATTTTTAATATGAAAGAACGAGAGAAAGCTCAAGCTTCCAGCAACAAAAAGCTCAAGCTTCCAGCAACAAAAAGCTCAATTTTATTTAAAAAGTTCAGGAATACTTCCACACCCTTTTTGCCCTATTCATAATGTAAATGTTTGCTAGAAACTCAAACCAAAAACCAATACTAAAGACTAGGAGAAATGACAAAAATGAATTACACTTGGTTTATTAATATATATTAATAGTTGCATAACATGGATGTGCTCCCACATTCAAAGGACCATAGCAGACCCATTCCACATTATTTAGACTGTTGAAAAGTCAGTGCCTCTGGAG